TTTACAATAGATTCCTTTTAATGTAGAAATAAACTCACCAACAGTTACTTTACCTTTGTTGAATAGCCCATTAAGATCTATTGATTTATTTAAATCTATATCTTGTAGATCAGAATATTTTCTGTAATCTATTGGTTGATTTTCACGTGATGACAAAGGATTTAAATCTGCAAAAAAGTGTCCATAAGATCTAAAAAAATTTGCTAATTCTGCAATTAAATTATCTACCTTTATACTTTGTGCATTATAAGAAGTCGCTGCATTGTTATTCTCTACATCACCTGAGAAAACTCCACACCAATCTTTTCCTATTGATTTATCATCTTGAAGATACTTCTGGTACATCTCCTCAACAAATTCTATGTTTTCGCTATAAAGACAGGAGTTATTTTTCAAATTAGTCATACATTAGGCATAAAATATATATAAGTATAGCGCAAATTAAAAAAATAACTCCTTTAATTTTTAATTGCAGCTACATAGTGTTGTTAACCGTTGAGCACCCCTCTTAGCTTTAACCTATAGACAAAAGTTTCAACAGGCCTCTTTATCTAAGATAGAGGTACTGCAGAATACTTAATATACTTGAGAAGTATAGCTCAGCTCGACAATAAAATCGCCATCAGAAATCGAGTTTCAAAAGTTATGTGGTCCCAGAGAATAATGGTAGGGTTAAGTATAGGGAAGTATTGGCACCAAAAATTTGAGCCACACATTAAACCGCTGTATTGCAGTAGCCTTTGAGGGTCATGGAACCATTACCTCACGGCTATTTATCTGCTATTATACAACTCTCTGCATTTTTACCTGATTTTAGCATATGAAATCTTTCTTCCTTTCGGCAATATTCATATAGGTAATCTTCTGTGTTATCTATTCCAGATTCATTAATATGCACTAGACTGTTAGGAGCTTTTGTCGACATGACCTTCAAAAAAATTGGCTTTTTTCTTTGTTTCTTTCTTTGTATCAAAAGCTCTTTTTCAGCGTAAATCCTATCTTTTTTTTAAGCCACGGTGTATCTTTGACGACTTATATTTTCCTATACTTTGCCATCTCTAACTGTGTTTTACTGCCATATTTTTCTACAAATTCATCCCTGTTGGTAATTTTGTAACTATAACTCTATTTTCAAGTTTTTTAACTGAAAATCTTCTGATTCTCTTCGCCTCTTTCCCATTTGTACAATTTACCCTGCTGATTTTTTGCCACCTCTGTTTTACTTCTTCCTTTATCCAACGCCTAGATCGTTTTTTTAAGTCATAGCTATACGTTGCTGGAACTCTTACCTCCTCGTCACCCTAAAATCCCTATCTTCTTGTTTTTTACTATTGTAGAAAGGATTATGTCACTTGAACAAAGTGTGCGCAGAACTCCTGGGAGTTATGCCAATATATTTATTTTTTTTATAAAAGGTAAAAAATTTTAAATAAAAGACGAAAACAGAGAGGAATCAAAATTCAAGGAAGCATGTAGAAACATTCTATATCACGTGCCTTTTGGCAGTGTTTTTGCTTCTGTTTTATATGCGCCAGTTTTAGTTAATAAAAAAAGTACGCGATTATGGGTAGAGCTCAGTTAAAACTTAGAATTTTTAACTAGAGGTCGTGAATCGCACATTACTGTCCATAACAAGCTTATAGATTTTGTGAATTTCATTAGTGAGGTAAAGTGGAAATTTCAGCGCTGGAGATGTTAAAACTTCCACTGCAGATAAGATAGACTGTGCTGCTGGATTAGTAACCATTTGAACAACATTACTCCACCCGCCCCTAAAGCACATAAAGATCTTTGTATTCAATAAGATGCAGTAAGTAGTACAATAAGAACTCTACTTGTAGTATTAAAAGATAAGCATAATAATAAAGTAAAAAATTCACTAGGAAAAACATCTATTTGATTTAGATACGGATCTGAGAAAGAATTAAATTATATTTAGTGTAACTCGAGGTGATAGAATGATAAACGCTGTAAAAGGCAATTAACTATGGATGTTAATAAGATTGTAAGTTTATTTTACCAGAAAATGGGGAACTATTCACAAGGATCAAGAAGATAGAACAGATAAATCTTCGTATCAAAATACAAAGAAATTCTTAAAGAGAAGAATAGAAGGGGAGCCAGTCATAACAAATATAGTGAATATATTAAATATAGCAGAAACGAAAAGGAATCGGTGATCTTTAGAAAGTGATAAGCGTGAGTGTTATGGGGAGGAATCAAAGCGATTCGTGATTTACGATAGGCAGATTCAGAATACTCTGCACCCGACGATGAAACTAATAGAGCTAAGGAGAGAACAATAATCAATAGCAGTAGATCAGGAGATATAGTTCTAGATCCATGTTAGAAAAAGAAGGTAAGGTTCTTGTGCAGCCTTAAAGCACAGATATTTTGATCTCACCGACAGATAAATTTGCATGATTTTTTTTAGTATAGAGCAATGCAAACCCTATGTTATTAACACTAGAACGTAGCTCTCCCACTTCTTCACTATCACTGGTGACCACTTTAGTGCCAACACTTGGGAGTACGCTGTCTCCTTGTACAAGATATAGTTTTCTTCGTAATGGTTGTTGCCTTTTCATCCGATTTACAACCTCTTGGCCTATGTAACACCCTTTATTGAAATCTATGCCGTTTATATGATCAACTAAATACTGAAGTGGAAATGATGAGCCTTGTATCATATCTTTTGCTCCATCTGGAACAAGGTTGCGAATTCTAATCAGTTCGTATTTGGAGGAATCTCCTGTTGATTTTTGTTCTGTTATTTCATTTTTATGTATTATTCTTACTCCTAAAGATGTATGTCGTGGGTCTTGAAAAATAATCTGCTCTTCATTATTATATTCTGCAAATTTAGTATTAAAAAAAACTCCAACTTTATATAGTGCGCTAACATCTTTAATTCTGACTTTTAAGTAAGTTTTAAGTAGATCTAGTTTTGCAATTATCTGTGTTAGATATGCGCTCTCACATTCTAGGAGAATATATTTACCATATGCAATAAGAAAAAAATCATATAAATATTTTCCCTGGGGGTTAAGTAATAGGGAGTATATGGCCTTTTGATGATCTAATTTGTTGATATCATTTGTTATGATGCTCTGTAGGAAGTTTTTTGTACCTGAACCATGCAGTGCTATCACACCCCGATTAGGTAGTTGTATGTAATTCATATCTTAACTAAAAAGATTTTAAGTGAGTCATATAATTATGCGACCTTATGCAATATTCTGTCTAGTCTCAAGGCAATGGGCACCC